AAACAAATGTTTAAACAACTCTAATTATTCAATAATGTTACGACAGTTAGTATGAAGTGTTTATTACCATTACTGTTGTGACTGCAGGACTTTCGTAGACAACTACAGCCATGACACTACCAAATCAGATTCCAGAATTTGGCTGGCCAATTCAACCACATCGCCGATTGAAAAATCAATGGACTATGATAGAAAAATACCACGGGAAGCATACCAGACTCAGTTCGAAATCATTTCTAGTACAGGTGGAATGGTAAACAAAAAGCCATCTATTTTGCTGCCAATTTAAAACGATCAGCTTTGACTACATTAAGTAACCACTTAATGAAAGTTGTGACAACTATCAAGCATTAGTAACTGCCTTATCCACTAGGTTTGAAGTAACATACCAGAAGGAAATACCCAGCGTAAAGTTTCACATCGACAAAAGAAGAGACCTTAACCAAACTTGCAGAAGATGTGGAAATGCTTGCTGAATTATCCTACATGACACTCGTCATGAAATGATGGATTTGTTGGCACGTGACCAATTTATAGATGCTATAACAAACAAGTAAATAAGAATTAGACTGAAGAAACTTAGGTGTACATCTTTAATGGAAGCTTTGCAGTTGGCGATGGAACTAGAATTCATCAAAATCGCAGATAAACCACTAAAGGCACCATATAAAAGTTATGAGAATATCAGATCCTATATTATTGAAACATCAAATTCCCCTAACAGTAGTCTAAAATAACTGAAAGAGTTAATCACAGCTAGTCAAACAGAATAGAGGAAATAAACCATGCAAAAATAGGCATTTCAAATGTAACTTGACATATTGCAAGGAACTGTAGATTAAAGCCAATATAGGATTAGGATACAAGAAATCTGGTACTGTTATAATTCTTGTAAACATGTCCATTACAGCTGAGACTGTAAGGAATAAATTGATTGACACTGATTCTACACAACTACAATTGTTTGATCTGCTTTGTTAATGAAAGGTGGGACCTTGCTTCCAGAGATGAAGAGTGGTTGACATTAAGCTGGAAGTTACCCTTGATGTAGAAAGATTCTCTACACTTCATGATGTGTGTGTGGGTAATTGACATTGAGGAAGAGTGTGTATTGAGAACTGATTTCAAGCAGAGACATGGATGCAAGGTTAGGCCAGTTGCACAGTCTTTGGTCAGGAAATCCGTATGTACTATATGGCAGTTACTACACTGGAGGATGAACTTTCAGTGGAAATGGGGACAGTGGTTGCTGTAACACCAATAAGTGAAATACTTGGACCAGGAGTAATTAGCAATAATTCTTCATCTAGTGACTGGGACGTTGTGGAATCAAATACTCCAGCATGTCTTGAGGAATTGGTGGTTGGAAGAGATTTCATGGATGTGAAAAGTAGAGATGTCATAGATTACTTGACCTGGGAAATACTTGAATTAGTGTGTGATAAAATGAAAGGTATCTATGTGAATGCTAATAAAACTAGATGTCATCAAGGTGACATGGTATGACTTAGCAATTGTTGATGCAAGAGAGGACAAACTCCAAAATTAAGTAGGTGTTTCTAAAGGCCATATATCCTACTGAAAATAAACAATGTGGTTTATGTAACTCGGAAGGATAGGTGATCGAAGACAAAGGTCACCCACTGTGATTGTATATGAAAGTATGTTAATGAGTGAACAACCAACTGGGTAACTCCAGAGAAAAATGTTCCAGTAGAAACTCATCCTGCTGAGAAAACCTTAAGAGGATCATCAAGGATGGAGACACAAGTAGATTCATTTGATGGAAGAACCCTCAGCAACAACATGGCTAATGATGACAAGAGACAAGAGGTCATCCTATTTATATACCATGGACCTTGAAAGAGAGAACCACCAAAAAACACGTGGTAAATGGACAGTTTATAATGTTCAAGGGACTTCCAGGAAGGAGACAGTGTTGTAATCTACATAGTTAATGCTGTAATGTGTTTGTTAGTTAGAGAGTGTATGACATTAAGATCAAATAATATTTGTTTATTTATATATGTCTAACAAGGTTTATTGAAGCATCAAAAAGAAATAGTTGTTTCTATTCAATAGAATTAATTATTTGTTTTTTGTTTAAATCTGAATACAAGAGGCCTAAACAGTTAATGGAAATACTCAAAATATCTGTATTTGAATGGCAGGTGTTTATTGTTTATGTACACCTGTACTTTCATATGTTAAAGCAATGAAACCTAAAAATTCAAATGTAATATGTATTTAAATCCTGCATATAACATGCTTACTGCACTTAACTAATTGACTTAGTTTTATATTTAAAAAAAGTTATGTAAAATATGAGAAACAGCAATTGTAGAATTTTGTAAAAAATAAACTTAAAAAATTGATGTATGCAATTAACAAATGTTAATGCACTAACTTTTCTTCTACTCACCAAAAACAACCAAACAGGGATTATATGGCAGCTTCATAATTTTTGTTCCTATTATGATTTCCTGATTAAAAATTAAATGTCAAGTTTGTTAATGTCATAAAAAAACTGGTTTTATATCACATAAGTGTTCATGTTTACCTAAAAAGTTATTCTTTTATTTGATTTATGTATTTTTACATTATATACACACACATTAAACTTGTGTGCACAGGTTGGGGGTCAAAGTGTGCATATCATGACAATTTACAAAGGGCCATTCAATGTGGTATTATGTCTTTGAGGTCAGTTATCAACTATTAATTTTTTCCTACATTGTTGATTTAGTGACAGCTTGTGGTAGAGTACAGTAAATCCCAAATGCAATGTACAGGGGTACTGGAAAAAAAACTGTAGATATGCATTTCAGAGGTTCTAGAAGTTATGTATATGTAATACACAAATTATACAATGGACAAAAGTGTTTTTATTCTTCACATGAACATCACCTTGCACTCTGACTTCTCAAAGTCTGAGTCAGACTGACACCATCAATATACAAACATATCTTGAGTGCAAATATGTTTGTAAAACATCAGATTTTTTGTGCACAATAGACTTGTATATTTCACTGGAAGCTTGCCAAGCTTGATGTAAATAAACTGAGTGAATTCAGAATTATAGTAAACATTCTTTCTCCCATAGGTCCAATGGATTGATCTCATACACATTCAGTGAAAGCATAACATAATGTTTTGGGACAACATGGGACCTATTCGTCCATCTTGGCTGTTCCATCCTCTAAACTAATTAAAGCAATTTTTTAAAAAAATCTTAAAGCCAGCTCTTATCATTTATATACTTGTCAAGCTTTTTCTTAAACTCACTTAAATTTACTGCCTCTACAACATCTGAATGGAACCCATTCCAAAGACCAACTACCCTGTTAGAAAAATGAAACTGTCTTAGCTGAAAATGACTCCTACCTTGTCAAAATTTATATTTGTGTCCCCTAGTCCTACCATTCTCACTGTTAAATATGAAAAAAAAAATGATGCATGAACACTATCAATCCCTTATACAATCTTAAACACCTCAATTAGACCCCCCCAACTCTTCTTTTTTCAAGAGAAAACAATTGGAGAGATTTAAGCCTCTTCCTCATATGACAACCTCTCCATTCTAGTAACCCTTCTTAGAACTCTTTCCAACAATTCAATGTCTTTCCCTAAGTAAGGAGCCCAAGACTGAACACAATATTCCAAATGTGGCCTAACCAGTGACCTGTACAATGAAAGTAAAACTGCTTGGATAGCTTTAGGAACTGATCGACTATTACAACAAGATCCTTTTCCTTGATAACACTATTAAGATTATTCTCATCCAAATTGTACTTATAATTCAAATTATGATAATCCACATGCATTTATTGTAATTAAAACCCATCTGCCATATATTTGTCCAACTCACTAAACCATCTAATTCCTTTTGTAAATCAGCAGCATCCTCTTCACAGCTAGCAGCACCCAAGACCTTAATATTATCTGCAAATTTAAGTAATTTATTGACTATCCTTCATCTATGTCATTGATGTAAATCAAAAAGACAAAGGTCCTAAGACTGAGCCCTGAGGTACCCCACTTGTGACATTAATCCAGTTTGACTAAACTCCATTTGTAACAACCCTCTGCTTTCTTCCATCCAGCCACTCTTCTATCCAATTTGCTAACTTATCCGTCACACCTATAGATATAATGTTTTTTTATAAGCCTTTTATGTGGCACCTTGTTAAATGATTTCCGACAATCCAGATACACCAAATCTACACCCTTACCCTTATCTACATAAACAGTAACCTTTTCAAAGATTGTTAAAAGATTTGTAAGGCAAGATATTCCCTTAGTGAAACCATGTTGACTATCCAATAAAATTCTAAACTTTGTTAAATGACTTTGCAAAGCACCTTTTAACAGACTTTCCCACAACTGATGTAAGACTACTGGGTTTATAATTACTGGGAAAATGTTTATCACCTCCACTGAAAAAGGAGTTACATTAGCTAATAATGGCTGGAGACGGCTTGAGTGGGTAATGAAGATGACGATGACGAGGAACCCACTTTGAGACTAATAATGGCTGGAGACGGCTTGAGTGGGTAATGAAGAAAAACTTTAATATAAGTTTAACATAACAGCAAATGTACAACGTTTCGACAAGGTTTTGAATTTACCATAACTGTACGTTGTCATTATATACATGGTGATGTCGTATTACTTGAAGAACCAAAGAACCTTTCTAAGATCTAAACCCATGCATTTCATCCTATAGTTATCCAATTTCTGTTAAAATGAAACAAAAGGAAGATCTCTGTTAATTTCTACTAATTTTTTTATTATAAATTGAAATACTGTTTACATATACTCTTTGTAACATTAACTTCCTAATCTGGTGACTGTATCAAGAAACAATGAAACGGAGGGCTGTACCTCACAAACAGTAAGAGCTGGTACGAAACTCGTTACGCCTTGTCGTTCCTCCATATGGAAAACTTAAATTACGACGTAGTTTTCGACTGTTCTTTACTGGCTAAACGTAAATTCAAAAAATATATTTTCGCTTACCTTTTCCAATTCGTTTTCGGTAAAAGTATACAACGCTTCATACAACGGATCTGTTGTACTACAATGAGAAATGAAACATATAAAAATAGAAAAGTATAAAACAATCGCGGAAAGAATGTTTGTCCCAAAGTTCTCGAATGTTGCGTTCTTACTGCAACGTAAGCTTGCAGACGAAAACATTATATCCGGACCTCATCACTCGGAGTATTCGTACGCAAAGCCATTCATTCCACCTATCAGAAAGCTGTGCCTACTGTTTTTGATTTGGTCGTTCTCCGCACTTGAAGCAAACTCTGAATAACTCGCTTTATCTTGATCAATTAATTAAAATAACAGTGATGATAATTTAATAAGATACATTTATTTCAAAAAAACAGTTTCAATGTAACATTCTGAATCGTCAGACATACATATCGAAAACTCTCGTTCCACGTGTAGGTGTATGTTGCTCGAGCTATTTCTACGCATGTACCACGTGGTCTGCGTTCGAGCAGCCGGCATGCGGCACGAGCGTCAGCTGGAGAGGAAGTTCGATTGTAGCTTTTCCACCTTCCTCCTGCGCCGTTTGAGTCCCCAAATAACTTCAACTACATGGCAGTGTTTTGTTTTAGTATTAAAAATACCCTAGTTGTGCGAATCCTAAATGTGTATTACCAGTTCAGGCCCTACAGTGAAAGAAATTTGAAGCTGGGATTTTCTATTGATACATATAATTACAATGTTTACGGCGGATTAGTTTCGAAATAGAACAGTTTTTGAAACTCTAAACTATTTTACCACTGAATAGTTTATGGATTTTTAAAGAAACCAAATAGAAATACTATAATATGTGTTGATACGGCCTAGCCCTCGTTGACAATTTAAAAAAATCATTGCCCGAACTAAAATCCTTTTACATTTAAAGCGTAACGATGTTTTATGTAATTTAGAATTTCAAACTTTATGAACGAAGCATATATTTTTTTAAAAGAGAATTTATTGATAGCTTATACTTTTCGTTTTTCATGATAATTTTAATAATTACATTCGACATTCTATAGTTACTATAATAAGGATATGACATCCAAAATCATTGAACAAAAGAAAGTCTCTGGGTGATTATAGTACCATAATAAGGATATGACATCCAAAATCATTGAACAAAAGAAAGGTCTCTAGGTGATTGTAGTACCATAATAAGGATATGACATCCAAAATCATTGAACAAAAGAAAGTCTCTAGGTGATTATAGATACCATAATAAGGATATGACATCCAAAATCATTGAACAAAAGAAAGTCTCTGGGTGATTATAGTTACCATAATATAGATATGACATCCAAAATCATTGAACAAAAGAAAGTCTCTAGGTCATTATAGATACCAAAATATAGATATGACATCCAAAATCATTAAACAAAGAAAGTCTCTGGGTGATTGTAGTTACCATAATAAGGATATGACATCCAAAATCATTGAACAAAAGAAAGTCTCTAGGTGATTTTAGTAACCATAATATAGATATGACGACCGAAATTATTGAAAACACGAAAGCTTTTTTGAATCATTATAGTGGCCCTAATGGAAAACACACGGTAATGTGTCTTTAGCAAGGCACGTGATAGCTGAAAGCTTTTCATCATACAACGGCCCTTCAAAAGCAATATGTTCAACATGCACTAAAAACCTACATGTGATGTTTATTGCAAAGTAGTACTGAACACAAAGATTTTAGTTAATAAGAGAGGTTGCATTAACATCTAGTTTGTTACAATATATATTCAGCCTACAGCTTTAAACATAATGTATATAAATATCAGTTACATCTGTTGTTGTGGTGTGCCTTTTGGATACTTAGAACATGTCTTGATGTCACCAGGAGGATAACTTGGATAACTGACCAAATATTTTCACACGCTTATTACTACATTAGTAAATATGATATTTTATAGCTTCGCAGGTATAACACTATATATATATATATATACTAGTATAAAACCCCGTCAAAAATGACGGGAAACCAAAACCTGCCAAATTTGAACCCTCCAATATGCATTTGGAATTTTGCCACCTGTAAACAGACATAAGAAAAAATAAAGGACCTTCTAGCTTCGGGAAACTAAAGCCTATCATGAGCAATATCTACTTTACCAAAAGAGTGTAAACATGATACATATTGATGGCTTTGGATAAAAGATGTGATTGCATACACACCTGTTCTTCTGAGGATTGTTTGTTTGTTTGAAGGCGAGATCACAATAAAAATATTAAGTATACCAAGTCTGTTGTGTCTTTTTATAAGGACATATTTATCCTTATAACATTTTGAACACTTGTAACGTTAGACTGATTCAGTGACAATGCAAATACAACTTGATTACGAAGAAAGTATTTTTCTGGTACTTGTAGCTTCAAAACATGCTCTGCCTTTCAGTCATGGGGGCGTTATAATGTGACGGTTAGTCCCACTATTCGTTGGTAAAAGAGTAGCCCAAGAGTTGGCAGTGGGTTGTGATGACTAGCCGCCTTCCCTCTAGTCTTACATTGCTAAATTAGGGACGGTTAGCGCAGATAGCCCTCGTGTAGCTTTGCGCGAAATTCAAAAAATCACAAAATATATTGATTTAAAAGAGTAATTAGTGTACAAATAAAGAAAGCTTAAAAATGGGCCTTCATGGTGGATTTGATACACAACAAAGGATTTTAAACATAAGTACGAAGTTTAGGTTTGTAAACATTGTTTAACATGTAGCACATTTGCGGTAAGCATGCCCTTACAAGACAAGTTTTTATGAAGTACGTTTTAATATTAACACATAAGAATATATGTTAATTAACTGATTGGAACAGTATACAACATATCCAAATTGTTTGCAGTAAAACTTAAATGTATAAAAAAATCTTACAATATACAAACATATGTATAAAGCGTTTTCCAGTGAAAATATCAACCATATTACATATTTACAAAAAATATATATAATTAAAATTCCTTCTTGATATTGAACTCAAATTACTATCCGACCAGCAAACAAGTTAGTGTCATTTTTATATTACTACTTTAATTGAAATTGAAATAAAAGGTAACTAAGTTACCGGAGCTTGGTTATCTGTTTATCTCAATTATTTGGAGTTGGATTTTCATCGCAGATAAATCCGAGAATCAGAAATTATAGCTTGAGTTTTAATTTCATTTAAAATTGTCAAAAGTATTGTTTGTGATAAGGAAAGTGTCATCGTACTTGTGTTCTCTGTATGTGTTAACGACACTTCTAAGAGGAGCGCGTATTTACACATCTGTCTAATGGATAAGCTTCAATGAGCGGCTAAGTTGAAAGGAGACGAGTCTTATAGAACGTGGGTAACGAGGTGTCCAAAGAATATCATTTTCTCTTCTCTGTCACATCTTCTCACTTCAAAAGAATTTTTCTTTACATATATTGATTTATTTCCGACACGTATTTATTAACGGTTTTAAGAACTTTTTTCTTTCGTAGAGGCGTCTGTCTCGCAACAATTTACACGTTATGTATATATATATATGGTTGAATTCAAGTAAATATAATATTATTTTATGCATAAAGTTGCATAGGAAACTTGACAAGCAGTATCCGGACGTTTAGAGCTATCGACAGAATAATAAAACGTGTTTTGTTTTCGTGAACACCACTTCTTAATCTACAGTATGCTTATTTGAACTGTGTTTCTCCTACACGCATATGAGTTTAAACTGACTTCTCAAGACAACAAAGAAAACTAAGTATTATATTGGATTTACGGACGAAAATATCATTAACCCAACTAATGAGCACCATTCATTTCAAACCTTTATATTGGTAAGAAAATATATATATCTCTACTTATTATATGTTTGATTTTTAATTTAAGTGGGTGAAAGATAATATTAATGAATTACAGTATATAGACAATTAAATCTCAATAAAGTATTACCTCCAATATAAGTCAAGC